GTGGGAGGAGGGGAGTGCATACCGAGTGGTGCTCACGGTGGAAAATGGCACGGGCTCGGCATACGTCGACGGGCAGCTCGTGGGGAGTTTGGAGGAGAAACCTCCCTTTGCTGGTTTTGTTGCTTTGTCTGAGTCTGAGTTTGGGCCTGAAGAAACTCTGTTGGGGAGGAGGCCGCCGGAGAGGGTCTCGCACATCCTCGTTGGGAAATACAGGTACGACGAAGTAAACGCAGAGGTCCACGTGACGGTGAAGAACGTCTTGCTGTACAACCGCTGCTTCAACGCCAGTGAGGTTGCGGCGCTGGAGAGGAAGGAAAAGGAGGAGGCCAGCGTGACTGCGCCGGAGGAGGTGCCGCTTCGCACCGCCGCATCCCCCGTAGAACTCCCAGCCGCAGCAGCTGGCGGCGTGGCCGAGGGGCCGTCAGTGGCAGCCGGCACTGGCCCCGCGACGACCGACGCGGCTGGGAGTTCTACGGGGGATGCGTCGGTGCCGCGCGGTGCATCGGCGCCGGGCCTAAATAACGCCTCCGCCTCACTCGCAAAAGAGGCTGCGGGCACAGTGCAGAGGGAGGCTGGGGGCGGCGACGGCACTGCGCGTGGGAGTGTGTCTGTGGTGCTCTCGCTTCTTCTGCTTGCGCTGTGGGGCCTCTCCGCGCTGTGCTGAGCGGCGGTGGCGTCGCTGGGCAGCGGCACGCAGAGGGAATGCATGTGCGTCACCCGCCAAGTTAATTGCTGATCCGCTGCGGATTGTCTTTACCTCCCGGTCATGTGCGAGTTCTCCCGTTGGGTTGAACGCCGGGGACAATTCTCTTCTTTTTTTTTTCTTTTCTAAATACTTTTCTTTCTTGCTTTGCTTTGCCCACTCTCCCCACGGAGGGGCGGGCGGCACTCGCGGCTGTCGGCTGCTCCCGCCCAGAGACGCGCAGAGCGGACGGTTCTTCGTGCGCCGCGCAGAGGAAGCGGCGGGTGGGCGGGGCGACGGCACGCTGAGGTGCCGCCAATAAAAAGTGGGCGCTGCGTGGACAATGAGGGGGACGTGTTGGGGTGGAGCGAACATATATCTTTTTGTTTTCCTTTTTGTTTTTGTTTTTGTTTTCTGGAGGCAAAAATGCGCGCGGCGCGGTGTTGGCGTGCGTGGCCAGCCGTATTTGTCTGCCCGCATCGTTTTCCGTTTTAATTGGTTTTGCTCTTCCGTAAGTCTTCTTTTTTGCTCACTTTGTTTCTGCACGGCGATCGTGCGGCTCACCCCGGGCAGGACCGCGGCGCCGTGCCCGGTGTGGCTGCCGTGCTGCTTCCCTCCTGCCTCCTTCGCTGCGTGCGGGCGTGGCTGGTGATGTGCCTCTCTCTTTCCTTTCCTTTTCTCTCTCTTTCCTTTCCTCTGTGTGTGCCTTTGGGTGCCGTCTGCCGCGGGCATGCCGTGCGCCCCGGCGTGTTCGCCTTCTTTTTTGGCGGCTGCAGCGGCGTGGTGCGGGGGGCGGGCGTTGGCCTTTTTATTTATGCGGCTGCGCTCGCCGTGGGGATGTGTTGCGTTGCCCCAGCCGCGCGGGGAGGGGCTTGCCGATTCCCCCGCGTGTTTGTTTGGGTGTCTGCAGCGGCGCCGGGGGGCAAAATGCGGGGCCCCAAACGCTGCTGCTCTGCCGCGTGTTTCTGCGGAGTGAACTCGTGCGGCTCGGCGCACTGGCGGGTTGGCGGTTGGGCCGACTGCGGGGACTGTGGCGGCTGCGGCAGCCCGTGCCCAGGCCCTGCAGATTTGTTGCGGCGCTCGGCGGCGGATGCATGCGGGCCGCTCGGGGCACGTGTTTGTTTTTTTGCCCCGCACGTTTGCTTGTTGCGTTGCCCGCCACGCGGCGGCGGTGCTGGCGCCCCGCACGAAGAGGAGCCCGCAGCTCCCGCGGGCACCGTCACCCGCACCTTCGCGTGGCGCCGGGGCACTTGGCTGCTCAACCGTCGCTGTGGGCTTCTCGTGCGGGCGCCGGACCGTCGCCTCCACCGCCCCCGCATGCGCGGCTTGTGCTGCCTCCCACTGCCGCGCCCGAACCCATCGCCACCGTCGTTGCTTTTTTCTATCCACGCGTATCTTCGCACACACAGCCGCAACCGACGTGCATGCGATGCGCCTGTGGTGCCGTGCAGGTGGATGGCGTTTTCGCAGCCCGTGCTGGCAGTGCCGTGTGCGGCTGCTGCTGCGGTTTCCTCGCGGGACGTGAAGGGAAGGGAAGGAAACCGCACAGCATGAGGGAGAGTGCGCTGTGACTAACTCGTTTTCCTTGCGGGAGCCGCCTCATTTGGGTGGTGGCTGCGGTCCCACTTCCCGTGTGCATGTGCGCGTGGGGGCGGCTGCTCTTCGCTGCTCCGTCGTGGGTGTTTGCTGGCGCCGTGTGCGTCTTTCTTGTGTGTGTGGCTGCGTGAAGTTGCTCGACTGCCGCCTTTTTCTTTTTTTTGCAACCTGCTCTCTTCACGGTCTCCGCTGCACTCCCTCTCCATCCCTCTACTTCTCTTGTTTCCTGCGCTTTTTCCCCGCTGACTTCAGCGAATCTGTCACTCTACGGTCACTACTACTACTTTTGCCGATGGTGACGACGCTGGCGGTGCGGCGCCGTGCGGTGTGCCCTGGCGCTCCTCGCGCTGCTCTGCGGCTGCTGCGCCCCCTC